TAAGAAATGTCGGTAAGAAAAGAAACTAATTTTTTTTAAATGAAAGTTTTTTGTTTATTTATTAACACATATTAACAATAAAAATAATGAAATAACAACAATAAAAAATAATAACAATGAAATAAGAACAAGATATAACATTATCGTTATCCGGAACGAAAAATGTGCCGCTAAATCAAAGATTAGAAATGTTTTTCCAACATGACGGAGCGCCGCCTCACGCATCTATACGCGCGCGTCGTGTATTGGATGCGAGCTATCCGGATAGATGGATAGGCCGCGGAAGTGCTGTTAATTGGCCAGCGAGATCTCCAGATCTAACTCCGTTAGATTTTTTTCTTTGGAGCACAATAAAAGAATATGTTTATCGAGAACGGATTAACAATTATGAAAAGTTAAAAGAAAAAATAACTGAGACATTTGCTATTGTCACACCGGAAATGCTGCCTAACGCGCAGCAAAACTTAATTAGACGTGCGCAATTGTGCATCCAATGCGATGGTGGACATTTTGAACATCTTTTGTAATAGGTACGTAACATTAATTTTTTCATGAAACTTTTAATACGAGTTGGCGCATTTTTTGCAGTTGATGTGTGAACTCAATTCGTGGACACTTATAGCCAGGTGTATTGTTTACGGTTTGCAAGACCGCTTCTTCATTCGATACTGTACGAGCGTGACGTTCAACGGCAACATTGATTCGTCTGTTGGGCACTACAATCCTGTTCCTCGCATCCGATGCAGCAGTCGCAAAATTATGTTGTAACTAATCATTTTACGTTCCGGATAACGATAATGTTATATCTTGTTTATTTCATTGTTATTATTTTTCATTGTTGTTATTTCATTATTTTTATTGTTGATATGTGTTAATAAATGAACAAAAAACACTTTTATTTAAAAAAAATTAGTTTTTTTCTTACCGACATTTCTTACCGACATTTCATGTAGCAGATCATACTTCGTTCCGATAGTATTGATTTTCTCTCATGACATGAGAAACGTCATTTGTCAATGGCACGACTGCTTTGACAGTTCGACGCGCATCGCGTTTTAATACAATTTAGAAATTATTATCGTTAGTAAATTCGTCAGTATTGCGAACAATGTGAATAAAGTGAATAAAGTGAATAAGAACTGAGTGAAGTGAATAAAACGTATTGAATAAAGTGTTGTGCAAGGGTCCTTTCGAGATACGATGTCCCTGAGCGCGCGAAATTCTGACAAGCTGATTGGTAAGCTTTAAACCTTTCCCATTCAAATACTATAGTAGCCTCGACATTTTGGCTATTAAGATTTTCG